CTGGGGGGTGATTTCTCGCTTTCTGTCTCTATGTCTCTCTCTGGCTGGCTGGCGAGCGCATGCGCCCTACAGTGAAAATCTCTCAAAAAAAATGCATAATTGGCAAATGAGCTAGGTTCTGCATTGCACTACATTTACATGATACAATGTCTATATCTACTAGCAGATCTGTGCTCTACAGTCAGACCAAGAACCATCAGCACAAGAAAATGTAGAAATGAAAAGCCAACCACGGGAATTTCCCGGGGCAGAAAGAAAAAGGTCAGGAGGGAAGTCCCTCCTGGGCTGTCGGTCACATGGGCAATATCAGCCAGACTCCCTCCCTCCTGTGCCCAGCCTCACGACTGGCCCACGGCCACTTGTCTGCTGTGCTTTCCTGCCACGAGGGCTGTGAGACCCACCTTAGATACTGAGCTGTGAAAGTCAGATTTCCTTTCGGGAAAGCAGGTGACTCCCACTGTAGAATGTTCTTGAAATTAACTGAATTCATTCGGACATTTTTAGGAGGTGGCACCATTCCCATCACTGTAAACATACAAGAAAATAACTTGTAACATGTATTTCCAAAAACATGGTCCGTAAGAATGACAGCATCCAGTTCTTGGTTTCCTCTAAAGCTTGTCTTCTAAAGCCACCTGGGTGAGGGAGGGAGAGAGATGCTAGCCATGCGAGGAGTCGAGACTTTATCCATGAGAAGACATTTCAGGGTGCTGGTGGTGGGGGAGGGGAGGACAAGCGTGAACGGCCTGGATGAAGACAGCCTGCATTCCAGCGGCAGTGGCGGTAGGAAGGTAGGAGGGCCAAGGAGGGGTAGATGGATTTGAGACTATTTCCAGGGACATAAGCTCTAGACTTCCTCAGACGTCTGATGTGGAGGAGTAGAGGTGAGTGTTCATTACTGGTGTAAGCACGGCTGCTCTGAGTGGGCTCAGGCTGGGGACTCAGTGTCCGGTCTAAGCTGCACAGCTAGAGATATTGGGGAGACATTCGAGTAGGGGTGGCAGGGTGACGGCTGGATGAATAAGCTGGAGAGCACATGGATGAGGGATCTGGTCTAGAGACAGAAATTATTTTCAAACTTCTTAATAGAAATTTCTAAGCATATACAAAACTAGAGAGACGAATATAATAAACCTCCACCTGTCATCCAACTAGTGCCAAGGGGAATGTAAATTTGAGAATCATGAGCTTATTGACAGTATGTGATGCCAAGATTCTGTGGAAATGCCCCGGAAGGATAGAGGAAGGAGGAAAAGAGGGCTGGAGCATGACCTTGGCTATTCCAGGATCTGGGAGAGGAGGCTTCCGAGTAGAAACAGCCTGAGAGCTGGGGGGAAACCAGAGGGCAGCCTTGGGAAGGTCTGCGCAGCTTCATCAGAAAGCGAGGAGGGGCTCCGAACCTAGGCAGCCAGTTCAGAGGTAGTCTGAAAGGTTTCACTGGATTTAGAATTCAGCAGCTGTGGAGCTGGGGCGCCAGGGTGGTGGGCCTAGGCCGGGGGTCGGGGGAGTGATGCCCACACTTCTGCCGGGAGGTCTGCCTGGTTGTGAGGCAGGCAGAGGACGGCAGCCGCTGCTGGCACAGGACTTGGGTCAGAGAAAGGCTGTTGGGGTACACCGGGTGCCGGCAGGGGCCTCCCCTCAACCCGGGGGGTTTCCAGGAGGGTCCGATGGCAGCCGCGGCGGGATGCTTTTGGCCCTTTAGGAAACTCGCTGGCAGAAGGAGGGGTGATCCAAGACGCCTGGAGTCTCCCACCCGAGTTTACTGCGCACTTGGTGTTACGATCCGGGTAGGGGAGATGGGGAGCGAGCGTCCTCCTACTGCAGGGTCGACACAGCGGCAGCCGATGGCCCCCG